CCATTAATAATAATAATAATTATAGCTAACACATATAGTGCTTACTATATGATAGACACTATCCTAAGAACTCATTAAATAATTAACTATTCTTATTTAATCCTCACTATACGTTGCAATTAAGAAAATGAAGGTATAGGGGATGGACCTAGAGAGAAGGGAAGTCAGAGAGAGTAAGACAAAAATCATATATCACTCATATGTGGAATCTAATTTAAAAGAATTATACAAATGAACGTATTTACAAAAGAGAAACAGACTTAACAGATATCGAAAGCAATTGTATGGTTATCAAAGGGGAAATGTGGAGGGGTGAGGGATAAATTGGGAGCTTGGGATGACCACACACACACTACTATATATAAGATAGATAACCAAGAAGGACCTACTGTACAACAGAGGGAACTCTACTCAATATTCTGTTATAATCTATACGAAAAAAGAATCTAAAAAAGAATGAATATATGTATGTGTATAACTGGATCACTTTGCTGTACACCTGAAACTAACACAACATTGTAAATCAACTACACTCCAATAAAATTTAGAAAAAAAGAGAAAATGAAGGCATAGAGAGGCAAAGTAATTTGCCAAGTTTTACGTGGGGGAGCTCTGATGAGAACTCAGGCAGTCTGGATAAGTCCAGTCACTGCTCTTATCTAACCACAAACAACTTTCAACCACTTTTTGTCAACCACTTTTCTTATCCTTGCTAAATCAGTATCTAGCACTAACAAAGATCTTTTAATTCCCTTATTGTTTTAACCACCCTTACTAACTGAATTCCATGGCTAAGTATTATGTGACATGGTCACCAGCACAAGTTTCTCAGCCCTACTAATCTACTATTCTCACCCTGTAAATCTCCAACTCTAGCTTCATTCAAACTTATTTTTTTGAGCTCACACACCCAGCTTAGCAAGCAATGAACAAAAACTAATGGTTGGGCCATGTGGCACTATTTCAGGTGTCTGATATCCAGCCTCTGTTGTGCTCTCATCATTATTCAGGAATCCTCTTGTCCTTGACTTGTTTTCTTTCTTATATCTCACAGTGGCTAAACATCTTTATTAGCTCAAATTCTGTCACAACTTTCTACACTTTTCTTTCTCAATAGATGAGAAAAAAATGATCCACAGTTCCAAATCTTCAGAGATTAAATAGGAAAACTGAAAACTGCCCATTGGGTTTAACAGCTAGGTGATTTTGCGTGTTTTGGAAAGAAGAGTTTCAATATAGTAGGAACATAAGTGAGCCCACAGTGTGTCAAACAGTAAATGAGATAGTCTCTCAAGCACTTGGCAATGAAGAAAGAGAGTTATGGTCAAGGGAGAGGAAGAGAATTGAGGGCAGGGCTACCACTCACTTTTGTGATTTAGAAAGAAGTGCCTCCTGTTGGTGGGCACACTCCTAAGGTTTCATAGCTTGAGGAGGGAGAGGCACCTTCATGCAAAGGAAATGGTTCTTCTTCCTCAGGGCAAATGCCTTCATTTGCCCTCTTGGTTGGGCATACCTTATGCAGCATATGGCCTGTAAAATTGTGATTGCCTTGCATGAGGAAGGGTTTTTGTTTCTACAGTTATGGAGTTTTGTTTGTTCTTTGGTATTCCCCAGAAGCAGTCTGGATGTAGGTATGGGGAAGGCAAAGTCAACAACTCTAGGTTGAAGTTTTGCCATGTAAGTATGGTAAGGAGACAAGATAGTTAATGACACTGGCAAGTTTCATGGGTAGTGGAATCTAGGATGGGTAGCAAAGGAAAATGTGGCAGACATGATTATCCATCCTGCTTTTCCATGTCAGTTGAATCACCATTTTATCGAGATGTTGGGCAGCAATGCAGTAAGGGAAGGTGGACCCAGTTCAAGCAGTGAATCACAATTAATTTAAACCAAGCATGGTAGTCATAGTCCTCTGTCAGTGGTGTAGGGGTGGGTATGTGACCTAGCTCTAGCCAAAGAGCTATGAAGGAGTTTTCCCTTAGGCAAAGATGCACAGTATAAACATTTTCCTTTCCTTTAAATGTGGCCTTATGAAGGAAGTGCCGCTTAGAGCTGTGGCAGCCATTTTATAACAATGAGGAGGCAAAATTGAGGTCAAAGCCTACATAATAAGGAAATGAAAGAACCAAGGAACCTGGGTTATCAATGACATTATTAAAGATAAAAGGGTTATTATCACCCTGTTCTTTCTGGAATTTCTCCTTTGTCTTCTCAGAAACCACATTCTCCTTTATCATCACTGCTGGGTTTTTGTTTTTTTTTTTCCGGTACGCGGGCCTCTCACCGCTGGGGCCTCTCACCGCTGCGGCCTCTCCCGTTGCGGAGCACAGGCTCCGGACGCGCAGGCTCAGCGGCCATGGCTCACGGGCCCAGCCGCTCCACGGCATGTGGGATCTTCCCGGGCCGGGGCACGAACCCGTGTCCCCTGCATCGGCAGGTGGACTCTCAACCACTGTGCCACCAGGTAAGCCCTATTGCTGGTTTTTATTTAAAGTTACTTACTTTCTACTTCTCTCTCTAGAGTTTGGTCACAGATCTCTTTTTCTTTTTTTTCCTCCTAGTAATTTTCAACAGGTGATATCTGTTAGTTTTAAAGAGTATATTTCATATTATTTATATTTTAAAAGTTCTTTTTTGGTATTTTTAAAACACCTTTACTGTACTATAATCCACATGCCATGCACCTAAAGTGTACAATTCCAATAGTTTTGAGTCTAGCCACAGAGCTCTGCAACCATGACCACAATCAATTCTAGAAAATTATCATCACCCCTAAAAGAAACCCTCTCCCCATTAGCAGTCATTCTCTATTTCCTTCAGCCCTGGGAAATCAATACTCTACTTTCTGTCTCTACAGATTTACCTATTCTGTGAGCTTTATGACACCTGGGACTTGTATTATTCATCACTAATCCCCAGTACCTAGGAAACTGGCTGGCTCATGGGATTTCAATAAATACTTTTTCAATAGTGAACAAGGTAGAATGGGTCCCTGCTCTCCTGGAGTTTACATTCTAAAGTGGGAGATCAATAAATAAAAGACAAAAAGATACACAAATTTTGTTCACTGTTGCATAGAAGATATTGAGATATTTAGATAGTGGAATTAGAGGCTTCTCAGAGATGAGTTGACATTTATGGTGAGACCTCAATGAATGCTGGGAAGGAAACAGCTATGGGAAGTGAACTCTCAATAGAGAGAAGGGCAAGTAAAGTCTCAGAGGCTACAAAGTGCTTAGTGAGTTTCAGGAACGTCAGTGTGCCTACAGAATAGTAAAGCCAGAGAATGATAAGCAGTGGAAAGGTAGGCAGGGGCCAGATTATGGAAGCCTTGTTAGGGAAGAGTAGGGGGGGGGGGGTTTATTTTTAACTCCAGGTGAACCAAGCATGCCATTTAGGTTGTAAGATTTATTCCTTGCATAGAGCCTTACGGTTCAAACTGTGCTTCCAACCTGCAGAGGCAGCATCACCCCCGAGCTTGTTAAAATTACAGAATATGAGGCACCACTCAGAACTGAAAGTCTGTTCTTTGATCCCTAGGTGATTCGTATGCACATTAAAGCTTGAGAAACACTAGAGAATGGATTGGAGGTGAAAAAGAGAAAGGGGAAACCCTTAGATATGTTAGTCCAAATGAGAGAGGAAGGCTGCCTGCATTAAGAGTGACAGCAGAAAGGATGAGAAGACTGACTTAGGGTATGTCTTGGAGATACTTGGTTTAGGACTCTTAACCAGCTGAACACAGATTTCAATAGGCAGGATTTATGAGAAAAGTTTAGGATTGGAGATACAGGTCTGTGGGTCTATTGGGTATCCTGCTTCTGAGTTTCAACTGTTGTTTTATAATTTACAAATGTTTGCATGTTGTCATCTTTATGGGAAATAAGACATGCCTTTCTGAAGGTTTTCCTCCACTCTTTCACTTTGAGGCCCTCTGTTCCTAGATATCTTTCATAAAGTCCTTATTAACTCCTTCACAAAAAATGTTTTGAACATTTTAAAATTCAAGGTCCATGACTGATCAACACGTCCTTCTCCATAGCCCCTTGGACTGTCCACACCTCGAACTTAACTGGGACAGATATACTCCAAGCCTCTCCAGTTTCTAAGTACAAAGTAGGTTGGAAACTCCTGCGTTGGTGGGTCCAATTGTCTCGGTGCACAATTCTTAAAAAACGATCTGTGAGCTGGAAACCCGTCAGTTAATGGGAATGAAAGAATAAAGTTCAAGTGGGGTAGACTACCTAGCGACCCCCATTCTTAGGCCTTATCACTTCGTTAGTAAGTGGCACAGCTGAATTCTAATGCTCTTCCCTGTACCGTTTGTCTCATTAAGAATAGTTTAATTGCTGAAAAGTTTGTTTACAGCAATTATTTTAAAAGGCAAAAGGGCCTTTTTCTCTCCTTCTTTCTTTCTGAGGTTACGGGGAATGGTAAAAGTTTTCATAATTCCAATTCTCAGTCGTTGGTAACCCAGAGAATAATACCAGAACACCAGAGTATCTCTGGGACGATTACAGGATTCTCTCAGAACTTAGAGAAGTAAAGTCCCTTCCAAGAAAACCATATATCCATTTGAAGGGCATGCCGCCAGTGAGACTTGTTCAAAGAAAGAAAAGCTGGGGGGGGTGGGGAGTGGCACGGCGGTTCTCCGCAGCCAAGAATGGGTCAGGGTAAGAGAGGTCAAGGCTGAGCGAGGTCCGCTCGGGAACGCCTCCTGGGTGCCCTGGGCACCGGAGCAGAGACGCCGGGGGAGGAAGGGGCAGGTCTCCGCGGCCTCCCTGTGAGAGCCGCGTGAGTAGGCGGAGAGGCCTGGCGCCTCCTCCCCTCTCGGGACGTGCGTCCGGGGATCACTCCGGGTCCTGCTCCTCCCTGCCGGCGAGG